TTTTTGTGGTACGCGGGCCTCTCACTGTTGTGGCCTCTTCCGTTGTGGAGCACAGGCTCTGGACGCGCAGGCTCAGCGGCCATGGCTCACGGGCCCAGCTGCTCCGCGGCATGTGGGATCTTCACGGACCGAGGCACGAACCCGCATCCCCTGCATCGGCAGGCGGACTCTCAACCACTGCGCCACCAGGGAAGCCCTAAAATGATAAATTTTATGGTACGTGAATTATATCTTTTTTTTAAAGATTTTTTTGATGTGGAATATTTTTCTCTTTTATAAGTCTTTATTAAACTTGTTACAACATTGCTTTTGTTTTATGTTTTGGCCCCTTTGGCCACGAGGCACGTGGGACCCCAGCTCCCTGACCAGGGAACAAAGCCACACCCCCCGCATTGGAAGGCTAAGTGCAGCTTCCACTGGACTGCCAAGGAAGTCCCTGTGAATTATATCTTTATTTTTAAAATATGTAAAAGGATTTCTGGCCAGTTCTGGGCAGTTTTGCTTCCTTTTATCCCCTTAGTTCATTGTGTAATTAAATAAGATTGACGATCCTTTTCAGGGTATGTGGTCTGTTTTATAGTTTACTGAGAAATGATCCATTTACACAAACAGTAATAAATTGGTTTCAGGGGAGAAAATGATTTAGCTAAGAATATACAGGAGGATTGATCCTCTCAACTCTCACTAGGGTATAAGCTCTTGAGAGCTGGTATGCTTACACAATGACTGATTAGGAAAACAGTACCCATTATTTTATGAACAAGCCTTGAGTAAGTGGCAAGGTGGTAGTGGGTCATACAGTAACTTTTAAGCAAAAAGAGGCAAGGAAATTATTTGGATAAACCTCTGAGAGTCAACTTCATCTTTTAAGAGTTCAGCAGTACCTTCTCGAAAGATCAATCCCCTCAGTGCTGCGTCTCCCAGAGTGACTGGACTGGGTGTCAGTCTCCATGTTTGGGACACAACTTAACTATCCACTATACATTTAATAACTTTTGCAGAGGCCAAGGACAACATGAAAATAAACAGATTTTTTTTTTTCTTTTTAAAGAGTAAAACAGTCACCTGGTCAAAAACTGAAGCCATACAGAAGGACATAAAATGAAAAGCAAGTCTCATAGACTCCCAGCTCTCCTTTCCAGATATGATCCTGGTTAAGTTTCTGTATAAATTACAACCTTTTATTTCTGAAATGTTGATTACTAATGCTATGGGAATATTACAAAGACCATATTTCTTATAAAGGTTAAGTCTCCTAGAGCCTGTCTGACTTAATCAGAAACTTAATCAGAGGCTAAATTCAGGTCCCAAATAAAGAAACTTAAAATTTTCCTGAAATCCAACACAAAATTTAGATCTAAATAGATTCAACTTAAGAAAAAAATTAAAATTAAAAAAATACATATATATGTTAGCTTTTAAGTCAGATTTCATTTTATTTCTTCCTATCCATAGCAAAACAAACTCTTCAAAGATTTATAAAAATAGCACAAGTTGGCAGTCACCTGCAAACAATTTATTATTAACTAATTAAACCCTAAATCCATGAAGAAAAAGCACCTAACACACTCAAGGTCAAAATGAAACAAAAATAACACAAGCACATGCATGCCTTGACAAATCAACAGCTCCTGGTAAAGTTCCTGATACTCAAAAGAGAGATTTAAAAATAAATGCCCTGGGCCTTTATCACCTTCTGAGATGACCCATACTCTGTCTGTGGAGTGTGTTTCTCTCTAAATAAATCCACTTCTTACCTATCACTTTGTCTCTCACTGAATTCTTTCTGCAATGAAAAATAAAAATAAAAATAAATAAATAAATGCCCTGTATGTGTATGGCTGATTCATTTTGTTGTGCAGTGGAGGCTAACACAACATTGTAAAGCAAACATACTCCAATAAAAATTAATTTAAAAAAATATAAAAGAAAAAATAAATGCCCTGTTAATTTCAATGTTGCCTGTAAGCAGATCTCAACTGATCTTTAGATGATAAGGTTAAGATGAACATAAATGCCTATTGGCAGGGGTGGTGGGGAGGCTGAAATAACCTGGGAATTCCAAGGGGTGGGAAGTAATCCAATTAACAGAAGCACTGAAAATGTGATCTTACAACACGAATACCAATTTGAAAAATTAATGTCTATGGGCATTTTCTTCCCCAAATAGGGAGCAGAGTGAATATGGGAAATTAATTTTTAACAATATTCCTAGGATCTAAGGCAACTACATGTCTGGGGCTACTAAACTCTCCAAAGCCTGAATATTAACAAGTTCTTCACATGGCAATTATTCTAATATTTTAAATTCAAAAACTGATGCAACAGTCAACAAATTCAAATTCTTATTAATTAACCTCTAGTTCTTCATATTCCATCCACAAAAGGAGCTACATAACTGTACCCTCTTCATTTTGGGTTTTTTTTTGTTTCGAGCCACAATTTGCACCTTGTGGGATCTTAGTTCCCCGACCAGGGATTGAACCCATGCCCTCAGCAGTGAAAGTGCAGAGTCCTAACCACTGGAACCCCAAGGAATTGCCCTTTTTAAAAGATGCAAACAATTTGCCCATTGTGCAAGTGAAGCTCACCTGGCTTCAACAGGCAGAGCCTGTCACAGGGCAGGAAACTGAAGGTATTCAGAAAGGCAGGTGACACGGTCATTCAGTCTGGAGTGCCTCTTTTCAACTGGAGTGAGCTGGTGCCCTAACATTTAAGACTAATTAGTGAGCTGTAAACAAAGCCCATGCCAGCAGAGGAAAGGGGCCTTTAGACCTAATGAAGAGTTGTCCAGGCGTTCTCTTATCTCTGCTGTTCTCAAGGAAAAGATTCCTCTAAGGTGAGCCCAGTTCAGTGGCTCATTTTAACTTAGAGCAACTATTTGCTGCTTCGGGAGTTTTTAGCCATCTAACAGGATTCTTGTAACTCAGCTCTCATCCTAGCAGTGCTCTGCATGCCTGCTTGGGAAGCTCCTGGGGAAGCAGATGAAATTAATTAGGATACGGCCCATCAAAGCCAGTGCAAGTATTTTACCAGCTGTGTACAGGGCCCTTCCCACAACCATGGCAAAGGCCACAGAAGAAATATTTTTACCACAGAGAGTGCCACAGTATTGTCCTCTTGGACTCATTCTTCCTCTCTTTAGCTCTCTGCCCTGACAACCTCAGCCTGTCCACCATGTTTCTTCTTTCAGAGGCACAAGGATTTCTTTTTAGCTTATTTTTGAGAAAGGCTTATTTTTGTGGTTTACCCAACTAACCAGGAAATCAGGCCTGTTAGGATAGAAGGTAAAACCAAATAAATAATCCTCTGAATGTCTGGGAAACGGCTGCTAGGCCTTTCAACTTCACGAGACACTTGGGCCAGTTGTGCTGTTCCATGCTGGGTCCTCTTCATCCATTGTCACGTCACCGTTGGTATTCTGCTTCTGCTCAGCCTCTGGCCCCGCAGGGAGGATGCTTGTGACAGTGAGGAGCAGAGCCTCTATCTGCTCCTCTGTCAGCCGTTCTTCACTCTCCTCCACCATCTGCAGAAGGAAAGAAAACCCTCCAGGACTTACAATGGGGCCTCACAGACAGGGCCCTGCCCATGTTGTTCCTGGTCCCGGCCCAGCCCCTCAGCACAGAGCTCAGGGCCTAGCTCCTGAGCTGCCCGGGGTCTCTAGATCCTTTCCATCTTGGCTCCACAGGAGAGAGAAGCCAGCTCAAATTCCAGGGTAAGCCGATGTGGCCGCTCCAAACGGGTTAGTGAAAAAAGCGAGTTGCAGGTTAGCATTTTTCCTTAAAAAGCAAAGCCTAACAGTTCTCTACTCACTCATACACACACACGCGCATGCACACACACACACTCACACACACACACATACACACACACATGAATATGCTGTTTATGCAAAGAAAACTCACCTCTGGGGAGTGAAATGGCATTTTATATACTTTTGTATATCACAACAAGCCCATCTGTAACGTATGAATAGTATCAACAACTCATTTGATGACCACCCACTATGTGCCAAATGGCCTGTATATTTTTCTAATCCTCACTACTACCAACACTGACAAGACCCATCAGGGAGCTCTTGTGCCTGGCACTGCGCCTTGCACTTCACACCCATTATTTCTTTTAAACCTCACAGGAAGCCCAGCAAAGGGCAGAACTACAATCCCAAGCCAGACCTGCCCATCTCTAACACCTACAATCTAACACACACACCATGGCCTTGGTCATCTCCTGGGAATGCAGGAGTCTGATGAGTGATGGCTGGGAAACAATCTCCCACCGCCCCATCAAAGGTCCACTTAGAGCCCAGTTTCTGACATAGTCCTGGATATCTGAACACACAGATGATATCCACAATTTGTAGCCTCACCTCTAATTCTCAAGATGTTAATTAATACAAACATGATGTCATCAACCACCTCTGTAAAAGCAGTATGCAGGCGGTCAAGTTACTTAACCACGCTCACTTGGTGGCATTAGCCATCTATCACAAATAGCTTTCTCAGTTAAAGGTGTCCAGGGTCCTACCCTGTGGCATAACAATCTCTGAAATCTGGCAACTAAGACCAAAAGGAGTTTCAGAAAGAAATCCTGGCAGATTTAAGTAAAGCATGATGACAAGCTTGGCTCACAATCCTCAGAAGGACTTCAGTCTGACTGCCTAGCTTCACAAACAACAGTACAGAAGCTAAAGAAGCCAGGTGACATGCCCAAGATCAAAGTCCTGGCAAACCACTGGTCTCTTCATTCACCTCAGTCCAAAACTGTTTCCACAACTAGAGAATAATCCTGGGTGTTCTAGAGTAAAGATCCAGGTGAAACAATGGGGCTTCTTCCCATCATACTGTGAAATAAAATGACCATATTCTAAAGATTCAAAGGCTCCATGTAACTTCTCTACTGAACAAGAAACAATCCTCAAAAGCCCACTTTTACAATCAGCCGTGTAAAATTACGGTCTGTAAAAGGAAATACTCTAACATATATCGCCTCCAAAGAATGAAGGAGGAGGAAGGAGGGATATATCTGACTTGATAATTTAATCTTGAGGAAAAAATGATCTCTATTTGGGAGAAAAATGTCTCCAAGTTTATGAATAACTGGCACACATAGTTGATGATGAACTGTTTCCTCAGGGAAAGA